GCAGAGCACTCTTTGCCTTTTTTTTTTTTTTTTTTTTTTATTCCTTAACTTCAACACTTTATTTCCTTGTTTTAAATTTTTTTCATATTTTCTTATTCTTTTGACTTTCCCCAAAATTGAGCTGGGTGATTCTTTGCTGTAAGCGCTGTCCTGTGCATTATATTGATAGGATGTTTCCCAGAATCCCCGACCTCTACTCACTAGATGCCAACAGCATCCTCTCCCCATTCATGATAACCACACGTATCTCCAGATTTTACAAATGTCCCCTGGTATAAGACGGCTCTCTGCTGAGAACTACTGCGGTTAGAGATGTGCCATGGAACATAAGTAAGGACAGGATGTAATTCAGATAAACAGGGAAAGTTGAGGGGGATGAAATCTAGTCTCCTCAGTTTGTAACACCAATGACCAAATAATCTTCCCTAAATTTTGGCATAAGCTCAGTATTCCCACTGTCTCAGAATTTCTCATTTTAATTGATGTGGTAGACATAAACAGCAATATTTGCTGACCTCTGGGAAGCACTCCCCGTGGGAGAAGAGGAGTGTCACTTGCTTTCTTCTGAGACATAAGCTTCTAGTCTTTTATTGGCTCCAAATGTTCCATTTAAAAATTTTGCCCTTGGGGCCAGCAGATGGCATAATGGTTACGTTGCTGGACTCCCAAATAGCCTACTGTGGTTCAAGTCCCTGACCCGGTGGCTTAAAACTCATGCCGGGCACATGTGCATGCATGCCCAAAATCCCAAAGGAGAACAGAGAAGAGATTGTGGAATGGCCTCAATGGGTGGTGATTTCTTGCTTTCTGTCTCTCTGGCAAGCGCACACATCCTATAGCAAAAATCTCTCTCTAAAAATATAAATAAATAAATGAATGAATAAAGATATGGTCCTTAAACATAAACCTTCCCATTCAAGTATATTTAAATAATTAAAATAAATAATCAGCACTGTCTTTATTCAAGGGAACAACAATCTAATATGGAATCACTTATTAATATCATACCTATATTCTCTCCTCAACCCAAGAGTCACTGTTGGTCATTGCAGCAGTTTAAACAGAGGTGCAGACAGCAAGTGGATTTCGTCACCTTTGGGGAGCTGTCGGCTCTGGCTGGAACTCCTGGGCAGCTGCTGGGCCTGGTGGGTATGCCAGCTCATCCCTGTCCATGTGTCAACTGCCTCACCCAAATGCCCTTTCTGCAAACGAAGACATGAGCACCCAGCTCCACTCCGGTGCCCACTCCATCCAGATCATGAAGCTGGAGGAAACTGGGGCCCAGCAGTCCCTGCCAGCCACCTGTCAAGCAGTTCCAAGACTCTAAGATCAAGTTCTCTTTGTCCCACTGGGTCCTGCATCGGCAGCATAAGCCATACTTCCCCACCATGAGGCCCAGTGCCTTCTTCTAGGCTCAGGGTCTCCCACCCAGGGTGGCCAAATAAACTCAGAGCTGCGGATGAAAAAAATAAAATAACTGAATTTGGGTGAGCCCGTGGTGTGGTGGGTAAGGTGGCTGGATCCCACATGGCTGACTGTGGTTCAAGACCAGGACCTGGTGGCTCAAGAAATATGCCAGGTGTATGTGTATGTGTGCCCAAAATCCTGGAAGGAGGGAGAGATGGAGGAGAGGGGATTGCAGTGTGATCATTCTCCATGGGAGATGCTTTCTCAGTTTCTCTCTTCTCTCTGTCTCTTGCCAGTGAATACACATACACCCTGGACAAATTTTAAAAATAAATAGCTGATTTAAAAAAAAATCAAACCTAAATTCAGTAATTTTGCTTCTTGGACATTTAGTCCAGAATAAATTATGAGTAATATTCAATATATGAATCAAACTGGGGCTTTCAAAATATTTAAAAATAATATCACAACTCAATAAGAAAATAAACAACTTGGTTAAAAAATTGTACAAAGACTTGAATAGACATTTTTTTAAAGAAGACATACAAATGGCTGATAAACATGTGAAAAGATACTCAATATCACTAATCATTATGGGAATGCAAGTTAAAACCACAGTCAGATATTACCTGTGCCCATTAAGATGGCTACTACTAAAAAAGAAAGAAAGAAAGTGTGGAAAGGATATGGAGAAACTAAAACCCTTAAGTACTGTTGGTGGGAATATAAAATGGTATCAAAGCAATAGAAAATAGTATGGTGATTCTGCAAAATATTAAAAATAGAACTATCACATGATCCAGCAATTCTACTTTTGTTATATACACAAAAGAGTTGAAAACAGGAACTTACAGAAATACCTGTACGCCCATGTCCACAGCAGCATTACCGCAACAGCCAAAAGGTGGACACAACCAAAATGCCCATCAATGGATGAACAGAAAAACAAAATGTGGCACATACCGCAGTGGAATACTACTCTGCCCTAAAAAAAGGAAATTATGGGGACCAGCAGTTGGCATAATGGCTGTGTCAATGGACTCCCATGTAGCCGACCGTTGTTCTATTCCTAGAACCAGTGGCTTAAACTCATACTGGGCATGTGTGTGTGTGCATGCTCAAGATCTTAAGAGGAGAATGGAGAAGGGATTGCAGCATGGCCTGGGGATGATTTCTCGCTTTCTGTCTCTCTGGCTCTGCTGTGTAGCAAAAACCTCTCCAAAAAAAAAAAAAAAAAAAGGAAATTATGAGATGTGCTACAATGTGGATGAACTTTGAGGACTTTATGCTAAATTATATAGGACGGTCACGAAAGAACAAATAGTGCATAACTCCATTTATATGAGGTACCTACAGTCATCCAATAAGTAAAGATGGAAAGCAGAATGGGGACTCCCAGGGTTTGGGGAGAGGAGAGAACACGGGGTTATTCTTGAATGGGTATATATCACTTCTATTTGTGGTGATGAAAAAGTTCTGGCGATGGACGGAGGTGATGTTTGTACAACAATGTAAATATACTTAATGCCACTGAACTGTACACTTAAAAATGGTTAAGATAATACATTTTATGTCATATGCACTTACTACAATTAAACATTTTTTAAAAATCTAATAAACAGCAGGAAAAGATTAATTGAAGTTAAGGCAATATTTATTCAATTTCTTTGTAATCATATTTTCTAAGGCATAAGTGGTTATTTGGAAGAATACAGCTTTTTTAAGGCCTTTAATAGTTGGGTTTTAGTTCAGAAATACATCATGGCTGACTGGTGTGAATTTCACAGAACCTTCTCTGACGTGGGCTCTTACTCATGATAAATGCATTGTCACCTCACCATTGCTTGATCAAACTCGATTGCTATTTCAGCAGCAGAGTGTGGCTGGTTATGGCGGCTGCTCGAAGGTCACCTGTTTTACTGTGGCCTGACCCAAGAATTGGCCACTGTGGGCTCCGTGGTCTCTCAGGCCGTACTCTGAATGATGACGGCAATTCCTTGGCCACCTCCAATGCAAGCTGATCCAACAGCATATTTTCCACCTCGACGCCTAAGGAAAAAAGCAGTGGTTGAAAGCAACCCTAATGAAGAATTAACTGAATAAACTAGATGAATTAATTAAACAGAATTAATAACAGTCATATTAGCATTTTCAATCTCATTCAACCATCTTTTACATCTTTTCCTCTATATTGATTTATAGTCACAATAAGCAAAAGAATTTGAAAAGATGAATATTTTATTAAAAGTAACACAGAAGGAGGAGGCAACCTAAGAAGGGTAGATTTAGGGTTAAAGGAATTGAAACAAATATATCAGCTGAGGGGAGTGTTGTAGGAAAGGGGTAAGAATGGGAGGTGATTTAGATAAACAGGGGAAGCTGAGGACAGAGTCGTGATTACTAACCCCTTTGATTTATATGGTTTTAAATTATTATGATAGTTCAAAATAAACATAATGAATGAAGTTTGTCCACATGAAAAGGCAGATAGTTTAGTAATAGTTCACGTCTCTTTCATAAAAGTTACACTTTAAAGGTACCCTCTGTTCTTATTCCTCAGTCATGATATGATGACCTTGAAAGAGTATCCATCAATTATTGCCTCATTTCAACTTGACACAGGAAGTAAGCGTCCCATTTACCCTAGCCTGACAGGAAGTCAGAAAGATTTTTGGCTTGACATATTTTGATTTTATTTACAATTTTTCTACTAACAGAGTAAAATAGTACAAAATACACAGTACCAGAAGGAGAAGTTCTATTAAAACTGAAAAAGAACAAACACACAGAAGGTCCCCCCTAGAACCCTGGAAACAGTGAAGAGAAAAACTCGGCTTAGATGCAACCTGTTTTTTTTTTATTTTTGAGAGGTTTTTCGCTATGGGGCGCGTGCGCTCGCCAGGCAGACAGAGACAGAAAGAAAGTGAGAAATCCCCCCCCAGGGGGGATGGCCACGCCGCAATCCCTTCTCCTCCATTCTCCTCTCGGGATCTTGGGCACACACGCACATGCGCCTGGCGTGAGTTTTAAGCCACTGGGTCCGGGATGCAAACTGCGGTCGACTACGTGGGAGTCCAGCGACATAGCCATTACACTAACTGCTGGTCCCTCAGATCCAACCTGTTTTTGATTAGGTTCCTTGAATGATGGTATCTAGATCAGCATTTTTTTTTTGTCTTCTTAAATTTATCTTTTTTTTTTTTTTGAGAGGTGTTTTTTTCTATAGGGCGTGTGCGCTCGCCAGAAAGAGAGAGACAGAAAGCGAGAAATCACCCCCGCAGGGGGGTTGGCCACGTCACAATCCCTTTCTCCTCCATTTTCCTCTCGGGATCTTGGGCACGCATGCACACGCGCCCAGCGTGGGTTTAAGTCACTGAGTCCAGGACTTGAACTGCGGTTGACTACGTGGAAGTCCAGCGACATAGCTATTACAACAACTGCTGGTCGCTTTAAATTTATCTTACTGCTCTTTCTGGCACTAGAATCCAAGTGCCATGAGAACCAGGGCCTCGTTATCTGCTCACTGCTGTGCATCGGCATCAGGGGTGGGGCAGGGCATCGCTAGACCTTCAGTGAACACTTGCTGAGTGGCTATACAGGGCATAGAACAAACAAGACAAAGAGCTCAGATCCCAAATGCCGAGCCACTAACAAGTCAAGTGACTCATCTATAAAGCCAGCTGAAAAGCATTGCCCAAGTAACTTGTTTCTGGTAAGAACCAGTGCAGGGGGTATGAGGAAGAAGGGCCAAAAATGTTTGATTCTTCTGGAGAAACCTAAATCCACATATTTCAATTAAAAAAAAAAGCAATTCTGAAATGTACCAACTTCTAGCAAGTACCTTAGTTCATGAACCAGGTGTGCAGTAATTCTTGATCCAGAACCTCCCAATGGGTGACCCAAAGCAATGGCTCCGCCATTCACATTGGTTTTACTCGGGTCAAGATCCAAACTCTTCTCAACAGCCAAGTACTGAGGAGCAAATGCTTCATTCACCTTAAGGAAAAAAATTTTAACATTGATAAAAATCCTTATGCACAAATTGATTATTTTTTAAATATTTAATTTAATTATTTATTTAATGTGCTATAGGGCATGTGTGCTCGCTGGAGAAAGAGAGAGAGAGAAAGTGAGAAAACATCCTTTGGGGGATGCCCACACTGAAATTTCTTCTCTTCCTTTCTCTTCTTGGAATTTTGAGCACGTACACACATATGATCAGCATTTCTCAAACTGCTGGGACTGGGACAGGAACCATGCTGTCAGCCATGTGGGATCCGGCAGCCTTAACCACCACACCACCAGCCAGCCCACAAAAATCGGATTTATTTTTAAAGAATTATTTATTTTATTTTATTATTATTCATTTTATTTTACTTACTATTATTCTGCGTATCTTTTTTTAGAAATTTGTCAGAGGGTGCATATGTCCACCAAAAAAATATATGAGAGAGAGAGAGCACAAGAAAGCATCCTCCATGGGTCCTGGTCATGCTGCAATCCCTTCTCCTCCATTTCTCTTACCTTTTGGGATTTTAGGCACATATGGACATGGACCTGCCATGTTTTTTTCTAGCTGCTGAGCCTGGGACTTAAAGTACACAGTCAGCCAGGTGGGATCCAGCTGCCTTAACCACCAGGCCATGGGCTGGCCCAATCCTGTATACATCTTTAAACTTTCTTTGCACTAACATTTCCTCAACAGCATCAGGCTAAAAGTCATCATCAAGGTTAAATGAAATCATGAGGATTAAGTGTATGACCTGACAGAAAGCAAGTACTCAGTAAGTAGCTGCTATTTACTACTTTACCCAGTACTAAGAGCTTTCCTTCCAAGAAGAAAGTGATAGACAATAAAGAATAAATTTCAGAACTGGATATCTAAAGGGAGTGGTTACTGTGTTGAAATGCAGCAGAATTTAAAACTCTTCTATTGTTATATTTACCTAGGGTGGCTATAAGAATACCTTACTTCTGGGACCAGCAGATGGCGTAATGGCTATGTTGCTGGACTACAAGTAGTCGACTGTAGTTTGAGTCATGAACCTGGTGGCTTAAACTCACGCCAGGTGCGTGTACATGGGTGCCCAAGATCCCAAGAGGAGAATGGAGGAGAAGGGAATGTGGCAAGGTTGCACCCTGGGGGATGATTTCTCACTTTCTGTCTTGTCTCTCTGTCTCTCTCTGTCTTTCTGCACACTATAGCAAAAAAAATCAAAAACCAAAAAACAAATGAACAAAAAAAAACAAACAATAGCAAAAAAAAACAAAAAAAAAACAAACAAAAAAAAACTCTATTAAAAAAAAAGAATTTCTTACTGCCAGGTTTTTTTTTTTGTTTTTTTGTTTTTTTTTGGGGTAGAGATTTCTGCTATAGGGCATGTGTGCTTGTTAAAGAGACAGAGAAACAGAAAGCAAGAAATCATCCCCCAGGGGGATGGCCATGCTGCAATCTTTTCTCCTCCATTTTCCTCTCGCCACGGGACTTGAACTGTGGTTGGCCACGGGGGAGTCCAGTGACATCACCAATATGCCATCTTCTGGTCCCACTTCCAGTTTTATAGTACTATATTTTCATATGATCTTAGTTCAGAGTTTCATAGATAAGAAAAATGATTCTAAGAAAAGTAATTTTTACAGAGTTGGGATCAAAATTCAGTCTTGTGCTCCTTCTTATATTTTGTGTTCTCACAAGATGGTGCCCTAATTTGTTCTTAGGTCTAACATTATTTTTTAATTTTCTATTGTCATTCTTTCTTTTTTTTTCTTTGAGAAGTTTTTGCTATAGGGCGCATGCACTCACCAGAAAGACAGAGAGACTCTATTGTCATTCTTAAGGAGGTACTCAGAGACCTAGAATATGTTGTGAAACCAGGCTTATGAACCTAGGATAACTATGTTCTAAGTATGTTCTTGAACATTTATACATCTACAAATGATGATGAACAGTTTTGCACAGTTGATATATTTCAAGAGAATTTTTTGAGAAAAATTATTTATTTAATTTTATTTATTACTATTATTATTTGTAATTTGCTATAAGGCATATGTGCTTGCCAGAGAGAGAAAGAGAAAGTGATAAAGTGAGCGAGAGAGAGAAAGTGAAAAAGCAAGCCACCAGGTTCGGGACTCAAACAGTGGTTGGCTAGGTGGGATTCCAGAGCCTTAACCACCACGCCCCCTGTTGGCCCCAATTTCAAGAGAGTTTTAAGTGTGAATTCTAAAGTCAAAGACTTAGTAGTATTTATTCGCTGACATAAATAATATGGTAATTATAAATTATACAGCACCTTCAAGGCTCTAAACTGTGATCTACTAAGAATGGAAGAAGAGATTAAAGAATAAATCATTTTTCTGAAACTATGGTTTCCTGGGTGAGAGATTAACACAGAAGAAATCACACTTGTGCCTACCCCCTTCTTATCAATGTAGACAGAAAGATTTCCATTGTTATATTAGTTATTTCCTAATGCTAAGTAGCACAAAATTATCAAAAATTTTCGAATAGTCCCAAATTTCTGTAAAATGCAAATAATTTGTCTTTAAGTATGTCCTTCTCCATCTCTTCATTTCATCATACTAAAACATTAAGACAACTTTGCTCTAACATTTAACATTAAAAAATACTCTGGCAATAATTTTTTTTCTAATGTCAGAAATTAAGAAAGAGGCATCATAAATTAAGTCATAATTTTGGTATAAAAGATAAATTTGTGGTGGTGGCACCTCAACTTGGTGAGAAGTGCAAGAAATTTCTAGATTAGGCACTAGGTTTCTGTTACATCAATTTTTTTTTTTTTTATATTTCTATACTTTAAGCTTTAAAATAGGATTACAGTTACCTATTTCTCTCCTACCTTATATGATAGTCAATTCATATTAATAATCTAAAATGAAGGGTTCTATAAAGTCCAGGAATTTTCTAGGAACTTATAATATTTATAGTGAAAATCACGCTATTTGAATTATTCAGATATAAGTATTGTAAACAGATAGGGGAAAGTACCAACATAAGGCAAGTGAATAAGGTAATACTTATTTACATGCATATTACTTGAAATGGCTAATGTATTAAAGTTACAACATTTCAAACTACAGCCATTTATACTACAAAAATAGGCAGCTTATTCATGTTGTAAAAAACCACTTACCTCTGGGACCAGCAGTTAGCGTAATGGCTGTCGCTGGACTCCCATATAGTTGACCGCGGTTCATATCCTGGACCTGGTGGCTTAAAACTCACACCAGGCACGTGTGCGTGCATGCCCAAGATCCCAAGAGGAGAATGGAGGAAAAGGGATTGCAGCGTGGCCATCCCCCTGGGGGGTGATTTCTCGCTTTCTATCTCTCTGTCTCTCTGTCTGTCTGGCGAGCGCACGCACCCTATAGCAAAAACCTCTCAAAAAAAAAAAAAAAAAAACCAAAAAACCCACTTACTTCTACCAAATCCATGTCCTTAAGACTCAGTCCTGTTTTCTTCAGTGCCCCATTGATAGCAGGGACAGGACCTACAGAAGGACAAAAAAAATTACATAGAATTAAATGTCATATGTATTAATGTATCAAAATTCTTCATTTAACACATAAGGAAGAAATAATGTGACAAGTGTTATTAGCCTTCATACATCTTGCTACCTTGACAGCATATATTAAATGATGTGACAGTAAAAAAAACATAAAATGAAAAAACATTTAATGACACAAATTGCAGAGGAGAAACTTATATGGAAAGTTCTACCAATAAAGGGCTCTAAGGTTTCAAACAGCCAAGTAAGTTGTATTTGGGATTTTGCAGTCAATTATATATCATGCAGTTACAGATCAAATGGCAAGGCAGACTGAGTGCTATCCTGGGATATAAATCATTTGTGTTTATAGTACAAAAGCAATTGTAACTATGCTATGAATATTTAGGCCCATCTGGATAAAGGGCAAGAAATAGCAGTAGCATCTTTAAATGGGTGCAGCAAGATAGGAAACTAAAAGGCATTTAAGGGAATGGTATTTGAAGTTAGGAGACAGAACTCCAACAGTATGTGAAGAACCTAAATAAAACATACCCTAACTCAAGAAATGCAAATCTACCAATAAGACATCTTAAATAGGGGCCAGCAGATGGCGTGGTGGTTAAAGGTATTTGATTCCCACATGGCCGATCTTGGTTCAAGTCCCAGACCTAGTGGCTTGCTTTCTTACTTTCCCTCTCTCTTTCTCTGTATCTCTCTGATCAAACTGGAAAATAATAATAATAATAATAATAAATAAAGTAATCCTTAAAAAAAAAAGACTTTTAAAATAAACTTTAGCTTCCAGATTTCTGATGATCACCAATGACAGTTTAATATTTCTCATATTTTTAAAGTAAAATAATACATTTTTCCAAAAGGTAAAAAAGATCTAATCTAGAGAAGATTATCTACTTCTGTTTGTTCTTTGAGAATTAAATGGCCATAAATATCTACAAAGAAAAATGTGTGATATATTTTGTTGAATGTAAGTAGTCAGAAATTCTTTTTTTTTGGAGACATTTTTGCTATAGGGCACATGCGCTCGCCAGACAGACAGAGAGAGACAGAGAGATAGAAGGGGAGAAATCTCCCCCCAGGAGGGATGGCCACGCCTCAATCCCTTCTCCTCCATTCTCCTCTCGGGATCTTGGGCACGCACGCACACGTGCCCAGTGTGAGTTTAAGCCACTGGGTCCGAGACTTGAACCGCGGTCGGCTACATGGGAGTCCAGCAACATAGCCATTACGCTAACTGCTGGCGGCAGTAGTCAGAAATTCTATAACAAGCTTCTCAAATATAACTAAGGTAGAGTGCGAAATAAGTATTACAAGAAAATAATGTGATCTAAATAATGTTAATTTATCACCCAGTTAAAATGCTCTTTGGATGAATCTGTTTATTGATTAAGATCATTCAGTTAATGCTTTTTGATTTAAAGAGTCAGTTCTGTGTGGTTACTGATTGAATATAGAATCTAGTTCCAGATTCTCTTTGTATGTCTAAGGCATGAAAATAGGATACGGAGTAAATAGGACAACTGTCCAGCATGCCAAGGGATAACGTATCCTATAGTGGTAAAAGATAAGCGGATGACTCTAAGCCCTTGCATACCCTTGGCCGTCTTTAAAAAAACAACCTAACAAGCATGACTCAGTGTACTTGTGGTAACTTGGAATTCATTACAGTCCAATGTAACAAGATGGTGGGGCATAGCCCGATTTTTAAAACATCTTCCCAGATCATTCTGTTTTATTACTAAGTTTCAGAAAGGTTTAGTGCTCTTGTTAGGAAAGGAATCCTGACCCCTGTCACTAACAGCTATATGAGCTGGAGCATCTCTTTGGGCTTCAAGCTTTTCATCCAAAGTGCTCTGAGTTAGTTTTTAAGCTTTTTCTTTTTAAGCATTGAAATTCTTTCTACAAATGGGCCCAAACAATAGTGAAGGCCATAGCTGCTCTAGCTGTAAAGGTTCCAAGTCCCACCCAACAACCTCCACTACTGGCAATCCCAAGAAGTTCCAGGAAGCACTATCTTTCTATAACTGTGTACTTCCTCAAAGCTATTATTGTTCAAGTGCTGACTTTTCCCCCCTTTTCTGGGATTTCAGAAATTCTTCAGGGCTGGGGCCGGCAGGTGGCGTGGTGGTTAGGGTGCTGGACTCCTATATGGCCAACCATGATTTTGAGTCCTGGACCTAGTGGCTTGCTTTCTCACTTTCTCTCTCTGTCCCTCTCTAGTCAAATAAATAAATAAAGTTAAATAAAATAATTCTTAAAAATAAAAAAGAAATTCTTCAGTGCTAAGGATTGCCATATGGTAGATAACTACAGAACTAAGGAACTACTGTTAGGATGATGTGGATTGACCAATTATTCCCCAGCAGATACACAATAACCTATCCTCCCTGGTTATTTATCTGGACGCTGCATGTAGTGGCAGGCTCATTCCCATACCTAGGTGACACTGTGGAACATTTGTATATATGCAGCTCTGTGCAAACACTGAGGGAAAAAGACAATCTTTCCACAGTGGCATTGCTACTTTAGGACAAACACCTAGGCACAGGAATAGAAGGAAGTAACATTACATTTTCTTTGCTCTCTGACTATTCTAAACTACTAAAACCTATTTAAAAATGAGATTAAATTGAAAAGAACTACAAATGCGTATCTGTATCAGACAAATTTGATCATCAAAACATCTGGGTACACAGGGAAAAGAAACAACAACATATTTTTGGGGCTCCACTCTAGATCTACTCAAACAAAATCTTGGGGTTAGAATCAAGGGGAGATTCTAATGGTCATTTGGGGTTGGAACAACTATTCTAGATACAGAAATGAACCATGCCATAGCAATACACAGATGTTTAATTTTTTAAGCTACCTTCTAAGATAAAAGCTACATTTTGCCAATGGTGGGTAGCTGAAAGCTAATAAGCTTTTAAGCCTGTAAAAAGAAAAAATGATTTTAACAGATATCTAAATATCTTGCAGTTCTTGCTGATAAAAATTTGAGACACACAGTGAAAAAAGATCAATATGAAAAGGCCAGCTTTCTTTCTTAGGAATTCTATACACGCTAAGCCTTCTCTGAAGGGCACAGCAGCAAATATAGTTGGGCTTTAACTTAATCTCAATTCGCAAAAGTGATGTTACTTGGGTAGGACCTATGGGTTTAAACTGGAAGATCTCTGGGATGGCAGGGCAGCCACAGGTTATCCTCCTTCTACCTTGGAATCTGCCTCAAAAAACCAATTTAGTTGGTCAAAAACAGTTCACAGAAAATCTCTGGTCCTACCAAGAATCTGCAATCTATAACTTAGGGCAAGCTTTCTCTCGAGGTGTGAGGTTATATCGGTGGCATAGATCAAAGCCTCAGGACGCCAACCTTATAGTGAGGCACCTAAATGGTTCCTGGATTCCCTAGAGAATGATGACAGGAACTATTAAAATTCAGCATCATGGGGGCCAGGAGGTGGCATAGTGGTTAAGGTGCTGGACTCCCACATGACTGACCATGGTTTGAGTCCCAGACCTGGTGGCTTATTTTCTCACTTTTCCTCTCTCTCTCTCTCCCTCCCTCCCTCTCTCACTCTCTCTTATAAGTGCACATGCCCAATAGGAAATTAAGAATAATAACAATAAATAAATCTTAAAAACATTCAGCATTATATATTCAAAGTGTCATAAATATATATATTATGTCAATTAAAAACTATTTAAAAAATTCAGCATCTAGAATTTTTTAGCTCCTAGAAATGCATCTAGCAAAAAACTTTCTGTTGTACTTTTTCTTTTGAGAGGTTTTTTTTTTTTTTTTTTTTTTTTGCTATAGGGTGTGTGTACTCACCAGAGAGAAAGAGAGAAAGAAAGCAAGAAATCACCCTCTAGGAGGGATGGCCACACTGCAGTCCCTTCTTTTCCAGTCTAACCTTGGGATTTTGGGCACACAGGCACCTGTGTCCAGCATGAGTTTTATATTTATTTATTTATTTTAAAGAATTATTTATTTTTTTAATTTCATTTGTTATCATCACTGTTTAACTTGACTGGAAACAGACAGAGAATGGGAAAGCCGCCAGGCTCAGGACTCAAACCATGGTTGGTCATGTGGGAGTCCAACGCTTCAATCACCACACCACCTGCCCCCTCTCAGCCCCCCTCCCCCTGCATGAGTTTTAAGCTGCAGGATCCGGGACTTGAACCGTGGTCGAATCCAGCAACGTAACCATTACACCATCTGCTGGTCCCTCTTTGTTGTACTTTTAATTAATATTTAATTAATATTTTTCAAGCAAAGACAACACACATTTAAAGAGAGTTTGAAATTTCTACAGCTTTGCCAGTTTTGACAACTGTTTATCATATTCTCCATTTTGCTAATAATCCTTGGTGAATCAATGGATTGTTACTTTGACTTCCTGAGATAACATATTCAAAGGACAGTAAAAAGGGCACTTGAATTGGAGAGACCTCAATTCACATCTTGGCTCCATTATTTACTGCTTTGGATCCTTACAAGACAATCTTGTTAAGCTTTCATTTTCTTGTTCACAGACACCTCACTTACTTGACCTGAATGAGGTACATTAGTGACTGTGTAAAACACCCAGCAGGGAGCGACTGTCTGTCCCTCACCCCATGAGTTCTCCCATCTGGTAACTGCTTTAACTTGTCAGAACTGTGTAATTCTTCTCTGTTGTTGCCTATACGCTGAGTTTGTGTGTGTGTGTTTAAAGATTTATTTATTTATTTATTTCATTTGTTATTATTTATTTTTTAATTTGGCCAGAAAGAGACAAAGAAAGAAAGAGAAAGGGAAATTGATTAAGCAAGCCACCAGGTCTGGGACTCAAACCATGGTAGCCATGTGGCCTTCCAGTGCCTCAACCACCACACCATCTGCCAGCCCTGTGTGTTGAGTTTTAAATATCTCCAATGGACAATAAGATATGATTATTTCCATAAAGAGTTTACACAGTCTTGGTTTTCCCATGCAGCTAGGATAGCTCTTTTTTCTTTTCTTTTCTTTTCTTTTCTTTTCTTTTTTTTTAAGTTTATTTATTCCATGAGTGAGAGGGTGAGGCAGACAGATAGACAGACAGCACCCCTGACAGGGTTTCAACACTGCAATCCATCCCCAACCTAAGCCAGCCAGGATCGTGGGCACATGGTTGTTCAGTGACTTTGAAGTCTCTGGACGTGATGCAATAACCTTTCCAAAATGGTCTGACTCCGAGAGCATCGTGTTTTACCACTGAAACATTGTGTGGACCCCTAGGGCAGCTCTTTGTAGAAAGTATTTATTTAGGGACCAGCAGGTGGTGTGGTGGTTAAGGCGCTAGACACTCCCACATGCCTGACCACGGTTTGAGTCCCAGACCTGGTGGCTTGCTTTTTCACTTTCTCTCTCTCCCTCTCTCTCTGTCTCTCTCTGGTAAAATTAAAATAAATGAATGAATAAAAAAAATTAGGTATTTATTTAAACAACTGATTATCAGTCTCCTATTCTCTATAAATGACCTTAATCTGACTACTTGTTTTAGGACTCTGAATGCCAACAAAGACATCTCTAGAAATATAGGAGAACCAGTTGGTTTCATTATAAACTTACCAATACCCATGATAGAAGGATCACATCCAGAAACAAAGTAACCCACAATTCTTGCCAGTGGTGTGAAGTTATGTTTTTTAACAGCATCTTCACTAGCTATGATAACAGCTCCAGCACCATCAGATACCCCCTTGAAAACAAAGACCATTGATTAACTATCAGGTCAAAGATTCCAGTTCACCAAGGTTTGAACTAATGGAGTAGTAGTGTTACTAATGTAGTAGAAGTAGCAATATGGCAGCCTATAGGAAGCAGTGGCACCATGTAGTACTAGTGTTACTCTGGTAGATTAAGGGGATTATTTTAGGCACAAAATACAACCTCACTCAGAAATAGGAGAGAAGTTGAGGAAAAGCTTATATCCAGATATGGGCAGATATAAGAAGAAATATGATAAACTGATAAACCGTACACGTGAGAAAGAAATAAAGTATGAAAACCAAAACAGTAAATCAAGGAGATTTCCTTCCAACATTCTCAAAGACTAAGAATTCAGAAGAAAAAAGAAAAAAAAAAATTCACTGAGGTTTATGCCTAAAGTCAGACTTGTGTTCATGGATATGTACATATCAGCTGTGCTTGCTGTTGAAAATATTTAGATTTATTAAGATATTTAGTGAAACAATAAAATGGGGGAGGCATAGAAAGCACCAATAGATACCAGACACAGTGTGGGAGGAGGGTGGGAGATGGCAGAGGGTGAGATAGGGAATCAAGAATGGGGAAAAAGGCAAAATATACAGAAAACAAGAAATGGAAAATGATTTGTTGACAATAACACATATGTTGATGTGCTTGATTGAGCCAATATACAGTGTATTCTCAATGGAAAAATCTCATTTTGTATGCTATAATGATGTACAGTGAATGAATGTAAATAAAGAAAAAAATGTAAAAAAAAAAAAAAAAAAAAGAATTCAGAAGAGTATTACATAAGGGCCTCTAGGCAAAATGTTTTGTGTTGGTCTATGAAAACACAGATGAATCGAATATGGACACTTTTAGTTTAAGCTAAATAATTAAAGGCTCACATAGGAAGTATCTAAAAATTACTTCATGTTTCTATTGCACTGAACACATCAAGAAGAGGTCAAGCTAAGCTGTATGGTGACACCAACCGACGCATTCCCTGCAGTGACGGTTCCTTCTTTCTTGAATACCGGCGGAAGTTTATGTAACTGTTCCAGGGTCGTCTGGGGCCTAGCATGCTCATCTACTTGCATTGTCTGTTTCCCTTTCTTTGTCTTCACCTCAATTGGTACCATTTCATCATTAAAGTAGCCAGCATCATTAGCTGAAATAGTAGAAATACTATCAGTAGAGTGAAAAAAAAAAAAAAAAAAGAAGAGACACAAAAATATAAATCATTATTTCATTCTTCACCTTAATTCCTGGTCTATTCTTTCTTCACAGTCTACTTTAATATGAGCTTTTCTTACTTATATGATTTACCTTCCCTGCTGAAGGACTTAATATTCTGTCATGCATCTATATTTTATACCTTTTTAAAATTATGATTTTGATCTTTTTAATTGTAATATATATGTTTTTCATGAGGTACTGCTAGGCTGTTAACAGTATTTGTCTAATAGCTCTAGCTGTAATGGCACCAAATGGATTAGATGACCATTTTTAAATCCTTTTGATTAGATAAAATGTAATTCAAAAGTTACCAAGTTGTCTATACCAAGTAATCTATGACTGAAATTTAACAGTGACAGGCAACTTAAAAAAATGACATAAGCCACCACTAATAAATTAATAAACCACTTTACCTATTTTGATCTCCATTTACTAAAATGGACTATAGTAATTCTACAACTTCAGAAATAGGGTGAGTCAGGAATAACAACAACTTAATTTTGATACCTCTTTACAGTTGGCAAAATACCTCCCTTCTCTACTCTTATTTAGTTCTATAATAACCCTATTAGATAAATAGAGAAGACATTCTTATCTCTATTTTAGAGAAGTTCAGGGGATAAATGACTTGACTGAGGTCAGATTACTTGTACATAGCAGAACTAGAAATAGAGCTGATACCTTTTGAGCTCTAGACCAATACTCTTCCACTATAAACATACACCAAAAAGCAGATGAACTGGATGGCATCAGCTCTACTCCATGTAACCCTCTGAAATGCTAAGATGGATTTCATCCTTACTACTTCAAGGATTTAATATCCCCAAATAAGAGTTTCTGCTTACTTATAATAGTTTCATTTTTTAAAAAAACGTTTCAGAAGACTAACAGGTTTCTTCTATTTGCCATATTGATAAAGATCTGCCACACTGCTCACTTTAGACTGGCTCAGTTACAGGGCTGTGTCATGCAAGGCATTATAACTGGGTCAGGGACTAGTTCTAAGGCTCTGAATTAGGTGCGATGGTGCCCAATGCAGAATGGGAGGAGGCAGAGAAAAGATTATCCCCTGAGTCTTTTTCAGACACAACACCCCCTTGGTGATTTTGATACAGAAAGATGTCCGCTCTGTCCCAGCTGACAGTGAGTCATTCTCTCGAATGGAGCGTATCATATCCCTCTGCATACTCTTCTGATAATAGGACCAGTAAGGATAACATTCAAGTGTCCAGATAGCGTCAAGTAACAAGACCACTTTTTAAGTAGTATTAACTTATTTCTGAAGGGAAATTCCCAGTTAATTTTGCAGTAATTAATAGAATATCTGACCACCCAAAAACAATAGAGTAATTTTTAAAATGTGATTTTTCAAAGGTATGATTTTAAAACTAATATTATTTACATGATCATTGTAATCTGAAATGATAAAAATCTTTTCTACAGATCTCTTTTCTATAGATACTGATTATCTGATTTCACTGACCAGCCTTCCACCTCTGCTGTGACTGCAAGGCATACTTGTCACATTCTTCTCTGCTTATTTTATGTTTTGCAGCAAGATTCTCTGCAGTAATTCCCATGGGGAGTTGGACATGCTGATCTGTTAATCCTGCCCACAAAGAATCTTCCAGCTATTAAAAAACATAATAAAGTAATTTGTTAAAGAGTTATATTTTTAAAGTAATATGTTATCATTTCTTTAAATTTACAAAATCAACAGTTTCAATAAAAAAATAACTAAAATTGGGGCCAACAGGTGGCAATGGTGGCTAAGGTACTGGATTTCCACATGACTAACCACAGTTCAAGTCCCGGACCCAGTGGTTTGAAAAGCATACTGGATATTTGTGTATACATGCCCAAAAATCGTTTTTTTTTAAGAGGTTTTTTTTTTGCTATAGTGCGCATGTGCTCACCAGACAGACAGAGACAGAGAGACAGAAAGCGAGAAATCACCCCCAGGGGGGATGGTCACGCTGCAATCCCTTCTCCTCCATTCTCCTCTTGGGATCTTGGGTGCACGCACATGTGCCCGGCATGAATTTTAAGCCAGTGGGTCCAGGACGCGAACCATTGTCGACTACATGGGAGTCCAGCGACATAGCCATTACACTAACTGCTGGTCCCCATGTCCAAAAATCTTGAGAGGAGGCTAGAGAAGGGATTGTGGCCATACTCCCTGGGGGATAATTTCTTACTTTCCCTCTCTCTGTTGTTGTCTCTCTCCAGTGAACACACATGCCCTATAGCAAAACTTAAAAAAAAAGTGAAATTAAATGTTTTGATAAACATTTGCTATTGCTATTCATATTTGGTTCTAAGATTTTCCCCCCTTTTTGGAGAGGTTTTTGCCATAGGTGCGTGTGCTCGCCAGAAAGACAGAGAGAAAGAGAGACAGACAGAAAGCGAGAAATCACCCCCCAGAGGGGATGGCCACGCCACAATCCCTTCTCCTCTATTCTCCTCTCGGGATCCTGGGCACGCACGCACATGCGCCTGGCACAAGTCCAAGCCGCTGAGTCCAGGACTCAAATCACAGTCGACCACATGAGAGTCCAGTGACATAGCCATTACACCAACCACTGGTCCCGGATTTTTTTTTTTTAATTCAGTATTTTTAAAAACGTAGTTTTAAAAACATCCAATGTCACACAGTAAAAGGTACACATTTTCTCTCTAAATGTGAGTCTGTAAAGAGAGCCAATAGCATTAAACAGGTAGGGTAAAAATGCAGGATATTACCCCACAATCGAAAATTAAGTCAAGGTTACACTTTGTAAGAAACCAGACACTGAGTCCTCATGCAATGCTTCCTGGTAGGCACCTTTGTGGACCACTTAACTAGTGTTGTGGGACAAAGTATGAACTATCTTTGTGCTTCTTTTTTTATCCCACGCCTTCAGTGACAAGAATAGCTGGTTCCATCAATTACTGAAAAGTAATTAGGGCTGAAAAGAACCTAAGACAGGCTCCTTCAGTAACAGAAAAGGTTGTTATTATCCAGTAGATAAGAGTTTCGGTTAAGCATGCTCCATCTGTTGTCTCGTCACTTCAGAGTCACTGACCTGTCTTTGTAAAGGATTTCTCAAACGTATTCAGTGTCTATAATACTGCTAAAATACTCATGTTCTCTAAACCTCTTTTCTTTCAACTTCCTAAAAGGTCAAGTAAGAAACTGGGTGACCAGCACAAGTAAATCATTACTATTGAAAAATGCTAAATATATATACATATATATATATAATGTTACTAGTCCTTTCACATGGGAAAGACAGTATAATATCATTCTTTTAAAAAAATTGTATTTTTAATTGTCAGAGGGCTGTGTGCGTGTGCTCGCCAGAGAGAGAAAGCACCTGCAGTGGGGCATGCCACAATTCTTTTTCCTCCATTTATCCATCTCATCAGGATTTGGCGCACCACACACATGTGCTAGAACATTTTCAAGCCACCAGGGCCTGGATTCCAATCAAGTTTGTCTATGTGGAATCTGCTTTTCTTTAACCACTGTGCTATAGACTGACCCCTATAATATAATTCTTCAATAGTACTATTCATGGGACCAGCAGTTAGCGTAATGGCTATGTTGCTGGACTCCCATGTGGTCAACCGCGATTCAAGCCCCGGACCTGGTGGCTTAAACTCACGCTGGACGCGTGTGCGTACGTGCCCAAGATCCCGAGAGGAGAATGGAGGAGAAGGGATTGCGGCGTGGCCATTCCCCCTGGGGGGTGATTTCTCACTTTCTCTCTGTCTCTCTCTGTCTTTCTGACGAGTGCATGCGCCCTATAGCATAAACCTCAACAACAACAAAAAAGTACTACTTATTCTCATGTTGTAGCTCTCAAAAGATGGAAATATAGGATAACTCGCATTCAAAAATACTTTCTGTGATGAAGAAGATATTTATTCAGTGGAGATTGCCCTAGAAATAAAATGTATACGAGTCATGGTAAAGATTTAATTATGCGTAACACTAATTATTTAGTAGAGTAATTCACTTTTTTGTCTATCTTGTAAATCTACTTCTTACCTTCCTCCATCTCTTCTATGCCTATGGCCCCTTCCACATATTAATTCTACTCCTAGAAGTATGTTGAAATAAAGTCCAATTTTATGTAGCTTAAAATGCAAAAACTAACACCAAAACAGGGTTTTGACTTTGAAAGAGTATACAAATTTCAATTAACTCATACTTGCTGATCTCCCAATAACAAAATAGTCTCTAAATTAGTTTTCATTCTTCTAAAAAAGTATGTTATTAAAATTACTTGTATAATAGCTTAAGAAACCTTCAAAAATTTTAATGGTTCCAACCTTGAGATCTGATCCAAACTTGGTTCCAAAACGCACATTTCTGACACAGTAAGGAGACTGGCTCATGCTTTCAGTTCCTCCACACAAGACAACTTCAGCATCTTTAACACAAATTTCCTATTTAAAAACAAATGAACAAGAAAAACCTTTTATTGTACCCAAAGTATGTATTAATAAATAAACAGATTTTTGAGACCAGCAGATGGTGGAATGGTTGCAGGACTCCCATGTAGTCAACTGTAGTTTGAGTCCAAGATCTGGTGGACTTAACCTAAACCCACACCAGGTGGGTGTGCGTGCGTGCCCAAGATCCTGAGAGGAAAACGGAGAAGGGACTGTGGCATGGTCACCCCTCCTGGGGGGTGATTTCTCGCTTTCTGTCTCTGTCTCTCTCTCTCTCTTTCTGGTGAACACATGTGCCCTATAGCAAAAAATCTCACTTAAAAAAAAGAAAGAAAGAAAACAGATTTTAAAAGTATATTCAAGAGGGGCTGACAGGTGATGTGGTGGTGAAGGGCACTGGAATCCCACATGGCTGACCACAGTTCGAGTCCCAGAACTGGCAACTTGTTTTCTTACTCTCCCCCCCGACCCCCATACACACTCTGTCCTTCTCTGGTCAAATTAAAATAAATAAATAAAATAAGTAAGTAAATAAATAAAGTTAAATAAAATAATTCTTGAAAAAATATATATACACACACACATACATACATATATTCCAGGGGCCATCAGGTGATGTGGTGGCTAAAGCGCTGGAATTTCCATATGGCTGACCACATTTCGAGTCCCAGACCTGGCAACTTGCTTTTTTTCTCTCTCTCTGTCTTTCTCTGGCAAAACTTAAGTAAAAATAATAATAATAATAAATAAAATAAGTAATTATTTTTTAAAAGTATATCCAATAAATATTATACCCTAGCTTATAGAGTCTCAGCAGAAGATACTTTTAAAGTAAATATAAAGCAAATGTCAGGCCAGCAGGTGGCATGGTGGTTAAGGTGCTGTATTCCCACATGGCCAACCATGGTTATAGGTAAGAACACGCAGCTTGAAAAATTACACCAGGCACATGTACATGCATGCCTCAAATTCCAAGAGCAGACTAGAGGAAAAGGGATTGTAGTGGGGCTATCCCTCTAGAAGGTGAGTTCTCACTTTCCCTCTGTCTCTCTCTAGTGAATACATACACCCTATGGGAAACTTTAAAAAAGAAAAACAGAAAAAGAACCTTAAAAAAGAAAAAAATATAAAGCAAACGTTAAAGTATATATTTCCCAAGATGCAAGGGGGAGGTAATAATAAATTTCGATCATGTCTGTTGATTAATAGCTCCTACCTACATTTTGAGTAAGAACAGTAATTCTTTATTATTTTTTGGGGGGGCAGATTTTTGCTATCAGGTGTGTACGCTTACTGGAGAGATAGAAAGCGAGAAATAACCCTGGGGTGGGGGGAATGGCCATGCTGCAATCCCTTCTCCTCCATTCTCCTCTCTAGATTTTGGGCACACATGCACATGTGCCCAGAGTGAGTTTTAAGCTACTGGGTCTGGAACTCAAACCATGGTTGACTACATGGGAGTCCAATAATGTAACAATTACACCATCTGCTAGTCCCAGAATAGTAATTCTTAACTCAATTTAAATCTTGAAAATCAGCAGAGAAATTAATGTATGGATAAGTGTACAACAGACAATAAAAGACAAATCCTTTAAAAAGGCCAAAAAAAAAAAAAAAGTTGATCTTATTAACAGACGCATCTGAAGACCAGAAATTTACAAGAACTAGGTCAATCTTAGTGGTTCCCAAAAATAATCCATTTCAGGATGAGCAGGTGGTGTAGTGGGTAAGGTGCTGGACGCCCACATGGCTGAGCACAGTTCGAGTCCTGGACCTGACAGCTTGAAACTCACACCAGATGAATATGCTTGTTTGCCCAAAATCCTGAGGAGAATGGATGAGAAAGGATTGCAGGATGGCCATCTTTTCAGGGGGTGATTTCTCACTTTCTCTCTCTGTCTCTGTGTCTCCAGCAAGCGCATGTACAATAGAACAAAAATCTCTCTTAAAAAGAAAAAAAAAAGAATCCGTTTTATTCTCTCTTTTCACTGCTTACATTTCTCAGAAAAGAAACAAATAACAAGCCTCCAAGAATCTGAGACTTAAAATATTGTTAGGAAAATCAGGATCACTATTAAAGATATACTGTTAGAGAAACAAATTGATGTGAAAATAATTTATTCATCACAGTATATCTATTTTATTTTGTAATAAAATGAATACTTTTACAAATGAAATTGGATTTAACTATATTCTCTTCTCCACTGTTCAAGGAAACAAAAGTGTTTGTCCAAGTGTCCTTTAGAAAGGTCGTGCTAGTTTGTACTTCTATCAATGGCATCACTTAGTTCCTCTGTAATAGAATACATTTTTCATCATCCCTTAAAGTCTTCAACTTTCCTCATTGCCTCCCAGTCTTTTTTTGGCCCCCCCAGTTGTCAGAGTGTGTGCGTGCTCATTGGAGACAGAGAAACAGGGAGGGATAGAAAGAGGGGGAGGGAGGGAGGGCGAGAGAGAGAGAGAGAGAATGACCCAGTGGAGCATGGTTATGCCACGATCCTTTCTCCTCCATTTCTCCATCCTGTCAGGTTTTGGGGAATGTACACACAGATGTCGGGCATGATTTTCAAGTCTCCAGAACTGGGGTCCAAACTGACGTTGGCCATATGGGATCTGGCTTCCTTAGGACCAGCAGACTACAGTCTTTTTTTTTTTTTTTAAAGTCCATAAATTAGTTTATTTTTAACACCCATCATGCCATAAATTCATAGGGAACAGGTTCCAGTAGCTCAGGCTCCTTTCCATTGGTTCTCACAAAGAGTGCTTCTCTGGGTGGAGCAGGCTGGCACTTCAGTTGAACCCAGGTACCTTTCTCTTTGGCTTCCTTCTCTTTCTGGTCATTTTCCTTCACGTGTTTTAGGAAGCTATCTCTGCTCTTAGAATGCTTAATATGCTCAATACGCACATTAATTCTCTTGGCAAGAATCTTGCCCTTGTTTGTTTACAATGCCAACAGCATGCTGGGTAACATTATAAACTCTTCCAGTTTTGCCATGGTAACACTTATGGGGCATTCCTTTTTGAACAGTACCCATTCCCTTGATGTCTAAAATATCACCTTTCTTACAGATTTGCATGTGTATTGCCAAAGGAACCACTTCATGTTTTCTAAAAGGCCTAGAGAACATGTATTGGGTGCCTCTCCTCTTGCCCTCCTTCGCGTTTGTCATTTTGGTTAATAACTGGAAGATGGCGGTTCCAGCCAAAAGGAAGCCTCACAGTCTTTATTCAATGTTTCAAACTGCCACACAAAAACTCTCACAGACAGGTTCAAATTCTGCCTCTATGACTTAGTAACTTTAATGCCTTTAATAATCATTTTCCTTATTCTTAAAATGAAAATATTAATAGTTCTTGCTTCATAGGATGATTGTGAAGATTAAATGAAATATCGAATGTAGATCTAGCAAATGTCTGGCATATAGAAAGTACTCAATAAAAATGATAGTCATGATCAGGTTTTTTAAAAATTGTGGTAAAATGGGGACCAGCAGTTAGCATAATGGCTATGTCGCTGGACTCCCATGTAGTCGACCGTGGTTAGCGTCCTGGACCCGGTGGCTTAAAACTCACGCCGGGCACGTGTGTGTGTGCCCAAGATCCCAAGACGAGAATGGAGAAGGGATTGTGGCATGGCCATACCCCCTGGGGGGTGATTTCTCGCTTTCTGTCTCTCTGTCTCTGTATGGCGAGCACACGCGCTCTATAGCAAAAACCTCTCAAAAAAAAAATTGTGGTAAAACGATACGTAACATAAAAGTTACCATTTTAACCATTTTTAAGTGTACGGTTCAGTGGCATTAAGTACGTTCACGTTATAGCTCATCCTTACTATCATTCATCTCCTGAACTCCTTTCATTTTACAAAACTGAAACACCTCACCCATTAAACACTAACTCCCTCTTCTCCCCTCACTTCAACCCCGGGCAAGCACCGTTTTATTAGGTTGTCAGGAAGGTCATGACGTATTTTTCTCCTTTCTACACAAAAATGCATCATGACTTTCCTAATGACATAATACTTCCTGTCTCTATGGATTTGACTACTCTAGGTATCTCATATAAGTGGAATTATACAAGATTTGTCCCTTTTTGTGGCAGGCTTACTCCACTTCAGGTTTCCTTATTAGTATATATTTTTTTCCTTTAATGAGAGTGAGAGAGAGAATGAGATGAAAGGAGCGGGGAGGGCAAACATATTTTTGGCAGGATCTGGCCATGTCAACATCCTCTTGTTCCAGTTAGCTAGGATCACTGGTGTGTAACCCTGTGCCAGAATGGTTTAGGCTGGGTCAGGAAAGAAATTCAGGCCTCTCCTGCAGCCTCGGCCACTGTGCAGTGGCATCTCCCACTTGGGTCAATAAAGCTAGGCCATTATTGGTTTTTGAGAAACTATCTCCTTACTGTGAATATTTTTCAAGAAAGAGAAAATACTGGCATCTCCTAATAGGCATTGTAAGATAGTGTTATTAGCACTGCTTAATAGTTATGAGTGGGACCAGCAGATGGCGTAGCAGTTACATCGCTGGACTCCCACATGGCTCACTGCAGTTGAGTCCTGAACCTGGTAGCTTGAAAATCACGCCAGGCACATGTGGGTGCATGTCCAAGATCACAGGAGGAGAATGGAGAAGGGACTGTGGTGTGGCCATCCCCCCCGGGAGATGATCTCTCACTTTCCCTCTCACTTTCTCTCACCAATGAGCACAAGCACCCCAATGTAAAAACCTCTGAAAAAACAAAAAGTTGTGAGCATTTGTTCTAATAACTAACATATTTTCAGATAATTAAATAAAATGTTGCCCATACCTGACATCCATTCACAATGGACTGGAAACCAGAGCCACAGAGCCTATTAACAGTGAGAGCTGGAGTCTCTTTTGGGATTCCCACACGCAAACCAACATGTCTTGCCAAGTAAGCAGCATCAGAAGAACTCTGCAACAGAGAAAGGAAAAAGAATTGCCTCTATAAATCTAGAATTTAAGAATAAGCACAAAACACACGGAAATGTTGGCAATCTATCAAAAGTGATAAATTATATGGCTCTAAGGAAGACATAGCGTATTCTATATGTGTTTATAGTTTGGTCAATTGGATTTTTTTTCCCTTTTTTACTGGAGTAAAATATGCATACTATTTACCAACTTAGCTATTTTTAAGTGTATGGTTCAGTGGTGTTAAATACATTCATAATGTGCAACCTTGGTCAACTGGTTTTTCAACACACTAAGAATGCTTGCTACTCCGAGAAATCTTTATATTACAGCCTCAGAATAAGACAAAAATATAGAGTAATTTAGAGCTGTTTAAAATGAAATAGGCTAAGGACCAGCAGATGGCATATGGTTATGTCACTGGACTCCAATCAATTCGACTGTGGTTTGAATTCCAGACCAGGTAGCTTAAAACTCACACCAGGTGTGTGTGCATGCATGCCCAGAATCCTGAGAGGAGAATGAGGGGAAAGGATTGCAGCATGATCATCTCCTCCTCTCCAGGGAGTGAGTTCTTGCTTGTTGCCTCTCTGTCTCTCTTGGTCTCTCTGGTGAGTGCATGTGCCCTATAACAAAAAAAAAATTTTTTTCAAAAAAAAAAAAAAAAAGGTAGTCAAGTTCCTCTACAGAGGAAGTATCTTAGGCTGTGGCTCTCAACTTTGATTGCACTGTGGAAGAACTGAGGAAGCTTCATTATTATACTCATGACTAAGCTCCCAACCAAGTCAATTAAACCAAAAAGGCTGGAGGTGAAATCTAGACATCTGCATTACTTTTTTTTATTTTTAAGAGAGATTTCTGCTATAGGACATGTGTGCTTGCCAGAGAGACAGAGAAAGTGGGAAATCACCCCCAGGGGGGATGGCCTCTCCACACTCCTTTTTCCTTCATTCTCTCCTCCGGAACAGCCATTTGCTGGTCCCTCTTATTTTAAAAATAAACGTCAGCAAAAAGATCTCACCGATGGATAGTCTTTTGCCAAGGTTTTGGAACCAAAAGTTCTCTTATAATACTCTGTGATGTTCAGATTGGTAAAATAGGTGCTGTAGAAAATACAAGCAGTAATGTGAGGTAATAGAAAGGCATTAGGTTAGAACTTGGAAGATCTAGATTGAATCTAGACTCTATCACTTGCTAGCAGTGTAAACTTTGGATTATCTAACTCTAGTTCTTCATTTGAGAGAAGTCATCTGCAAATGGATTTTACAAGTGCTTAAGCTGGAAATAAAAAGGTGGAGCAGTTTTGATTAAATTGTTAAATCTGAGCCTGTCTGAATAAAAATTGTTTCTAGAAAACTTTACAAATGAGACATACTCTTACCTGTATGCATATTTTGAATGTGGTCCCACCTGATGCATATAAGCAAGATGTCTTCTATTTTGGCCATTGTTTTCTAGAAAGTAACTAATTTTTTAAAATTTTCTTCTGGCATTTCTCTAAGCACCTCCACAAAAATACTTTTTACATCTCTTTTAATATTAAGACACTAAAAACTATAGTTAGAACTTAAAACAGGAGGAATAACTTAGAACTAAGTAAGGAGAGTTGTATTCTAGCCCAGGACTGTTCCAGACCACCGCTATTAAATTGGACAAGTCTTTGAAACCTTTGGAGACTTCCTCATGTGTTAAGAGAGGCCTGGAATCCTACAAAATCTTTAGGGTTGCTTCTGGCTTATCACAGTCCATATATGTTACTTAGAATTTACGTTTTTAAAAGTTCCTAATTTATTACTTATTATAAAGCTACTTCCGGGACCAGCAGTTAGCGTAATGGCTATGTCGCTGGACTCCCATGTAGTCGACCGCAGTTCGAGTCCCGGACCTGGTGGCTTAAACTCACGCCGGACGCGTGTGCATGCATGCCCAAGATTCTGAGAGGAGAATGGAGGAGAAGGGATTGTGGCGTGGCCATCCCCCCTGGGGGATTATTTCTCACTTTCTGCCTGTCTGTCTGGCGAGCTCATGTGCCCTATAGCAAAAACATCTCCAAAAAAATAGAAAAAAAAAGCTACTTCCATGTATTATAATTTCTTATAACAGAATACACTAGTTTTTTGTTTGTTTGTTTGTTAGAGTTTCTGCCACAGGAAGCATGAATTGTCAGAGAGAGAGAGAGAGAGAGAGAGAAAGTAAGAAATCACCCCCAGAGAGGATGGCAACACCACAATCCCTTCTCCACTCCTCTTTTCCTGATATTTTGGGCATGTACTCACATGAACCTGGCACAATTTTCAAGCCACTGGATCCAGGACTCAAACAAACCATAGTCGGCCCTGTGGAAGTCCAGCTCCTTAACCACTATGCTATGTGCTGGTGCTTTTTTTAAACACCAAGATTTTGTAATTTAATGCCAAGGACTTTAACACTTTACAAGATAGCAAGGAAATAAATATGCAAGCTCTAAATACAGTGGATCTTCACTAATCATGGATTCTGCATTTGCAAATTCACCCACTTGCTAGAGTTTATACTGTAAGCCCAAAGTCAATACTTGCAACACTTCTGCAGTCATTTGCAAAGATGTGCGCAGTGGTGAAAAATACTAGTACAATATGCTTTTAGTTGAAGCTGAACGAGGTGATGTGCTGCTTTCTTGTTTTAGCTTTCACGCTATAAACAAGTGTCATTTTAAATGTATATAGCTATCTTATCTCCTTCATTATCATAACTGCCTTTTGTTCTACTTTGGGCATATACATATGTTATTCTCTCTATATGTAGTGTCATTTTAATATGTACATCAGAAATATATATAGTCATTTAAAGTAAATACACACACACACACACACACACATATATATCACTTTGGGTACTGACCTTCTCTTATGGGACTTAAAATAGCCCTTTACAAGGCATCCAATCACTCTTTGTATTTTTCAAAGGAATGCATGATTTTCAATTACCTGTATAGCACAATGATCTATTCTATACACTGCACACAGCAAGATAGAGGGTAAAGGAGCTTCTTATTTCCCACAACAAACACTGTCCAAGCCCCCACAATGTATAAGAAATTATGGGAGACATGTTGTATTCCTTGGGTTTGCTACTCTCCTTTGGTGGCATATAGAGAAAACAAATTAACTTGAAATATGCATTCCAGATTAGACAGATATATAGAATATATGCTGTTTTGAATTATGTATGCTGTTGCATCTAGAGTCAGATGATTACTCAAATTACATATTTCAAATACCTGTAACTGTTGTTAAGTTATTCTCTATCATGATATGTTCAAGGAATTATTTTTAGAAATTGATCAAAGAACACAACAGCAGTGAATACTCTGCCCCACTAACCTGCATGACATTGCCTACAATGACACTGTCAACAGTTTCAGGTGAGACTTTTCCAGCAGACAAGGCGGCCCTGGCAGCAAATTCAGTCAAGTCAGTAGCAGTGAAGTCTTTTAAAAGACCTCCATAAGCTCCAAAAGGCGTTCGCTTAGCAGCAACAACAAACACACCTGTTGCAACAAGGAGAGATTATAAACAATCCCAGATTAGTTGATATCCTTAATATGCTTTAAATAATCTCACTGTAAAACCTTATTGTAAAGTACAATTTTGTTTGTTTTTCATTTAGGAAAGTTACCGTTTATTTATCTGCAGGGGCCACAAACCAGGTGTTACATCAAGTCCTTCCTTGCATTCTCATTTTATTCTCAGAACAATCCTTGTTTATAAAGGAGTAAACTGAAGTTTAGACAGGTTAAGTAACTTGCCTGTGGTTTCACAGCTACTAAATGGTGACGTTAAGTGTGGCTGACTCAACAGGCTAGAGTTCTTCCCACATTACAATCTCTAGCTTCTCTGCCACCTGCCAGTCATGGTCAGAAAGCTGTAGAACAAAACTGCCTTAATTAAGCAGAGGCTGGATTAGTTGCACTGGCTTTCCTAGGCTAAGGTCAATATTCCAAAGCCAAAGAAGGGAGTTTAGGAATATAGTTGCTCTGCGAATTCATATGACTTAAAGAACCCTAATTCCTTTTGAGATTTAGGAATTGTCACTGTGCTATTAGGGACTTTTAGATATTTCTGTCACCTCCAAAAATACATTCCTCTGAACTATTACTGCCAGTCTTGAAGACTTATTTTATTCATATCTTAAAGATAATCATATATTCCAGGCAAACTGAAGGTTTATGAACACGTTAATAGCATCTATTGTTTATACCTACACCAATTTTTCAAACATCATTTAGTTATTGCTAACACCAATTTAAAGCAATTATGAAGTTGTTTCATACTAAAGCAAATCAGGAAATCAAGACATTTGCCATAATCAAATCTCTTTTTTTTCCAAAGAATTATTTAACTTTATTTTATTTGCTTATTTATTTTAATTTGGAGAGAGAGAGAGAGAGAGAGAGAGAGAGCAAGTAAGCCACCAGGTCCGGGACTCAAAATGTGGTCGCCCGTGTGGGAGTCCAGCGCCCTTAACCACCATGCCACCTGCCAGCCCCAACCATAATCAAATCTTAATCTTTAGAGAATAACATCTCTACAGGTTGTCTTGAAGACACCCAGATTCTACCTGGTTTTGAGGTGTTCCATATTTAAGTAGTGCAGGCACTGCAGTTATTTTCAACTTTGTTCTGAAGTCATTATTTGGATCTTTCCAATAAGGTCTCTCTCCTACTTGGCGGTGGATCAACACACATCCTTCACTAACATGTGAAGGATGTTCAGTCCCTCTCGGATGACTGGTTCAGCCTGCACGCAGTCGGGGCACCAGCTTTTCCCTTCGGCATCCTCAGAACCAGTAAAGTAAGCAAAAATGGTGTAGCCACTATGCTGTTGAACTCCTCAAAGCCCAGCATGCTCACTTCCTCCTAGCGGGCCATCAGAACCAGATGGCGGTGGCTGGAGGAATCCTCGGGTTCAGCCGCCATGTAAAAGACACTTTTCATTTAGATAACTGAAAAATCTTTATCATGTAATAATGCACAGAATGGTTCACACCCATGGAAGTGGTCTTAGGAGAGATCAGCTTGATCAATACCTGTATGTGGGTACCAAGAACTGTACTGCTAGCTATAATACGAATCCACTCTGATGAGAAAACATTCTTGTCCTCTGGTGCTTCTTAATGCTAGAAACATTAGTTCCAAATTGTAATGTTTCTTCTATGTGCTAGGATATACTGCCCAGAATTAGAATTAAAGAATATCCAAATTAGAGACCCTTATACTTATGCTGTCAACCACTCACTCTGTAACAATTCTCTAGAAAATTTCTGACAAGAGATTCTCTCTAACCTCTGCTAGAAAACTTCTAGTAGGGACAAGCAGTTAGCATAATGGCTATGTCGCTGGACTCCCACGTAGTCGACTGCGGTTTGAATCCTGGACCCAGTGGCTTAAACTCAAGCCAAGCGCATGTGCGTGCGTGCCCAAGATCCCAAGAGGAGAATGGAGGAGAGGGGATTGCAGCGTGGCCATCCCCCTGGGAGGTGATTCCTCACTTTCTGTCTCTCTGTCTCTCTCTGTCTGGCGACCACACGCACCCTATAGCAAAAACAAAAAACAAAAAACAAAAAAAAACAAAAACAAAACAACAAAAAAAACACAAAAAAAACCACCTCTCCAAAAAAAGAAAGAAAAAGAAAACTTCTAGTAAAATGGTACACTCCTATGTGAAGCAGCATGCCCATGAATGGACAACAAAAACTAATTTTTTTCCTCTTGAATTCACAAATCCTAGTTCTATCCAAATGTATCTTAAGATAAATAAGATTTATTTTTAGAATATATGCTGCTTTTAATATAAATTAAAATCCTGTTTCTGGAGTCACAGGATGACAAATAAGAAATTTCAAGTAACTCACGCTATTATCTTTTACTCTTAGGATAAAATATGCAACATTGGTCATCTTTTATATGCATAGCCCCTGCAGTATTTGGTGTCAGCTAACCTATAAAATTCCCCAGACCTAGTGACTTTTTCTCCAGGTAAATAACTTTTTTTTTTTTTTTTTT